AATACCCAACCGAATGCCTCAGCACAGATCAGCCTACGTCTTCTCATTTATACTCCCCCTCGTCCAACTCGTCTCTCCTGGGACGCTCACACAGCGGAAAACTTGCCTCTGAAAACGACCTTCACTACTCTCCATACACCCACCAGTCCAATTGGTAACGCGCCACGCTCTCTATCTAACCACCCAAGTTCGATCCCCAGGTGTTACCATTTCAAATTCTCTCCTCCCCCAACACAGATCGTCCTCCACCATCTCTTCCTCGCGATACCTACATCAAATCAAATACAAACCAGCGCTGGAGAAAAATATCTTCGCTTTCCTCAGCTGAACTCAGAACTTTCTTTCCTTACTAATGATACGAATTCGATTAGAAGTGTACAGAAACCAATAAGACTTTCTCCAGAATTTTATACTACAACGAAACATGTTTCCTCAAATGCATATTTTCCCCTTAAACGAATCGTAATACTCACCATATACGGGAGTACATCCTATGCAATATTTTTCATATCACGGGTGAAACTCCAATAAATATGTTATATAAAATTAATATATTATCACTAACTTCGACTATAACGATGAACAAGCACATTACTACATGCCACAACGTATTTCCCCTCCCACATCCTTCCACACAGGAACGTACGGCTCCGGGCTCAACACCTACCACACCATCACCAAATCCCAACACATATGTACAGTGCGTGCCAATTTGATATGTAAATATGTTGAATGTGTGTTGTTATTTCCCGAGATTAATGATAGTGAACAAGTTGTCACTATCACAGTCTTGAATCACATGTTCATAGCAATGTTTACATTTATTATACTATGCAGTTTCACATCGGTTCTTATTAACTTTTCACAGTTGCATATCAAATTGGCACGCACTGTATAGATATTTAATAAAATGTCAAAATGTTAACGATAGGTGGTATTAGCCATTTAGTAAACTAATCTGAAGAATTCCGAAGCAATTTCAAGAGTCGAGATTGCCTATAACACACGAAGCCCGACGACTTACGCTTTGAACCATGCATCGAAACTTCACAACACTTCCCAAGGCCTCCTCGGAATCGTTCTCAGACATGTTCGTTAGATCGGGAACCTCTTCCCAATTCAGCGAGCCGATATAAAGATTCACTCTGAAGTAGAATATTCGTGTTAACACATTTACGAAAATTTCTGAAAATTCTCAAAATTAATGTTTGTGAATAAAAATCACTTCCAAATTCGATTCTGTATTCCACTGCCGATTCAGAAATAACACGCAAAGATTTTCAATAGCACTATTCGAAAAATTCGGAAAATCTGGGGAAAATTCACTTGAAAATTATTTCCCTCCTGTACAATCACCTGTCAATAACTCCTTTCCTGCCCTCCTCGCCACACACAGCATCATCCAGAGCTCCGTATGGCTGCTGTTGGAAATCCATCATAGAACAACTGATATCGTAGTTGCAGCCACGCACGTAACCGTAAATCACTCGTGAATGGAATATACCACAAATTCTTGAAATACTTCATAACGCAATACAAGGAGAATCTGTAAACGTTATAGTAGAAGAGTAATACAGTGATAACTATTTACTGTGGATTTCCTCAATGAGTTTACTCTCATCCTTCTTACCAACAACAGGAACATTCTTCTTCTTCATTTCCTCTTCCACCGCCGTGGCGTCACCTTGTACATCGAAAACACCA